AAGTGGCAGAATGACCAGGAAAAATGATTGCTTATGTTTAAAGGCAACTGAGAAGGCACGAAAAGAAATCTATGGTGCTAGCAACTTAAAGGAAGGTTACGAGTAGTATAAATAGATATGTGTAGGTCACAAGTTAAAGTATAGTAGAGTAACAAGGTTTTAGGTAGATGGGAGTAAGGATAAGAAAAGGTGAGTGAGAAGGTGACAAGAATAGGTAAGGCCTCGGGATTAAGCCCATCAAAACAAGAGAGCTGATGGTTTCCGTAAGTTATAGAAAGCTTAGCATAGATTGATTTAACTCAGAGGAGTCTAAGACTAGGAGCATTTAGAAGATATGGAATGCTGCCCTGGTACTAGAATAAAGGTGTAATTGCAATAGATACGAGGATAATGTTTAGGCCTTTGACTGAGTAATGATTTTGAGAAAAAAGGATTTCATGAATTGCACTGGATTAGAACCCATATGATGAATCGCGTTGGGATACTATGAAATATGGTTATTGAAGTATAGTATTGTCCCTAGGTGGATCAGGAAAATCACTTCAAATGTTCCCCGATGAGACGTGAGCCCTAGTGATAAGGTATTACGTAAGAGGTTTCAAGTTATCAGTGGTAGATTATTGATCAATATTGAGGTGAATCGACAATAGAGGGGTAGAGGTTCCAAAGTATGGTATGAGATTAGGCCGTCATTATTAAGATGAACGGTAATTAGGAAGCATTAAAGGACTTAGATTTATAAATATACGATAAGCAGCGAGAGAGTTACCTTGAGTTGGGTAGCAGACATCGGTAACAATAAATCGAAGTAAGAGTTATGGTATAGTATAGAGGAAGAAGAAGAGAAGAGTCGCATGGGCACTTACAAGGTCAGTGTCGTACATACTACATGATAGAAGGTAGCAACAGTTACGAGATTGAAAGGATTCGGACCACAAGTCATGGTGTGAAGAAGAGGCCTAAAGGGGGAATGCCCTGGCCTTTGAATTTATTCACATAATAGTTGCCTAAATGACAAGGACAGTATTAAAGTATTCAAAAAAAGCTATAGGTTATGAGACTAATAGGCATATTAATCAACATTCGAGGATGGATGTTACAAAGGGGAGAATGATGTTACACCCCATATTTCTGTACGTGAGAGTACATCACAAGTTAATTGACGCAAGCTCAGAAATGAGATCGTATTTGAAAGTACATAAATTAAGTTAATCATGTTACCTTGGAAGTTAAAAATCTTTAAGATCATGGATAACAACTACCAAGAGGGTTGAAAGGCTTAGGAGCTAAGCAAATTGAAGAAAATAAGTTTTCACGAATGTCCACAAGTTGTGAATGCTATAACGTGTACTTTTGGGCTGATACTAGGGTTTTTAACGTGATAAAGAGGTTATGTTATGAGTTATTTTAGTCGTATGATAGTCGTGTATTACATTTTGAAGTCAAGCGAGTTTTGGAATAAAAGTTGGCAAAGGTCATCACAAGTCACATTCATAATGTGCTAAATATTAGGTCAAATGTAGCAGAGATTTTCTCCTAATATACTTGGAATTACAGGATTCTCCATATATAAAATTGAAAATCTATGAGTTTAGTTTCTAATGCATTAAATCTTTCTTCGATTGGACATCGGAGTAGAGAGATATTTGCAGTTTCGCGAGACTGCGCAGACTGCATAGGTGGCAAGTAGGTGGGTCCCTAAAGGTTTTTGATCAATACCTTTCATGTGTTATATGAGGTCTTTTTAGGACATATTAAATACCAAATTTAAGGTCATAGAATGTAGTTTCCAATGCTTTTAATCGTTCATTCATACGACAACCGGATAAAAAGATATAAGCATTGGAAGAAGGGCCAATGCTAGAGTGCCATGTAGCACCTTTTTGAGTTTTCAACAAATTGGATATTTATATCCCTTATGTCATATCTTTCTTTATTTTTCCAGAAACCACGACCAAATAAGACCCATAAACTTACCCTTAAGCTCTCTACAAGGGTTTCATAGAAGATTTACATCCCGGGTATAAAAATCAAGAAGCGATAACATTAGAACGATTCTTACGACATAAGTATCACTATATCGCCTCTCTTTTTCTTTGTAATTTGAGTTTTGGAAGATATTTAATAGTTAAGAAAATGCCTAATTTATGTATTTAAGATTTTAAATATCAAATAATGTTTATAAATTCATTTCCTAATAGTTAGAACTCACGGGACGGTGATTGAAAGCCGTGAGTTCGAGTTATTCGACTTATAGTGGACTGTTTTGTGGGCTGTTTTGTGTTGTTTTTGGGCTGTCTATTTTGCTACTGTTTAATGGAGTTTTTGAGGAGAAATAGTGTGGAGAAAGTTTGCTTCGTTGTGCCCACTTTAGCTTGTAATATTTTTGGGGTGTTTGACACTACTATAGTTGTCATTTTGGGTATGAAGTGATTGTGGTGTGTTGGGCTGTTGTAAACTAAATATAACATGAATTTAGACTTAAATTCACTGTAGGAAGTAATTATATTATGTTCTTAAGGATGTCTTAATGTTGATTAAGTTAAATGGATGGGCTAGACATGAACTAGTGAATAAAGTTGCTAATTGAGAATAGTTGGAGTTATGGATTATTTTCTTTGTTATAAATATATGGTATAAGGCTGAAATCATTGATGGATGACTTCATTATTATGTTAATGATACTTTTAAATTACATTAATAAGCCTATAAGGGGTGATATGGGGTATACAGGTTTCAATCAGAGCTAGCTTGTCGCTCGTTGTGAAGTAGTTGTGACTTGTTGTTATATGGTATTTTGTTATTGATAATTATGTATTGCTGGATTGCTCTGGTCATTGTTGTTGATATATGGTATTGAAAGAGGCTCTTGTTACAGGGGAGATGCTGCCCAAATTTACATAAACGAGCTACTAGTTTAAGTTGCGGACTTAGCCTTTACTGAACACTGATTTTGAATCTCTTTATGTTATGGTAGATTGAGTTAAGTTGTTTGAAGAATTGCTTGGAAGGTATTAAGGACTCATTGGAGTTAAGGTATGTTAAGTCTATCCCTTCTTTCCTTTTGGCATGATCCATATGATGCAATGAAACGAGCAAGCACGCAACCTTTATAAATGATTCTATTCTTAGAAGTACTAGGGGTGCCTATATTCTTGATTCCCCGTGTGTCCTATTATTTTATCGCTTATTCATAGGTCTCAGAAAATACATAAGTTGAGAAAGTTTATTTCATGATATTAACCGAAGGCATATTGATCTCATGATACTCTGAGAGATCTTATTGACTTACTTCCTTATGCATTGCATTCATTTATACATGTATATTGATCCATGACTAGATGGCGTCATTTACGCGTATAGTATATGTATATGGGGTATGAAAAAATATTATGGAGTTATATACGCATCACCACCTGATCAGTTATTCTATGTTGATGATTTCGCCCACAGAGACCGAGATGATATGATAGGATGCCCTCAGAGGCTTAATGATGTTATGTACGCATTTACCTATGCATGATGTGACATTTATACGCATATGCATGACATTATAAATGTTTCATGATTCAGAGAGCTATTCACACTTACAGGTTGAGTTCTTTGCTCCTTGTTTCTTTCATGTCTTTTATATACTACTTTCATGCATTACATACTCGGTCTTTTATTTGTACTGACATCTCTTTTACCTGGGGACACTGCGTTTCATGCCCGCAGGTCCCGATAGATAGGTTGAGAGTCCTCCTACTAGGCCTTCAGCTCAGCAGAAGGTGTTGGTACACTCCACTTACTCCGGAGTTGTGTATTTGGTCAGTATGATTTGGACATGTATTGATTGGTATGACGGGGCCCTGTCCTGACCTTTATGACGTTTATGCACTCTTAGAGGCTTGTAGACATATGTCATATATATAGATGATTATATGGCCTTGTCTGCCTATGTTTTGAGTGTACAAATGATTATGTCGGCCTTATAGGCTCGTATGTCACATGTATAAGTTTGTATTCTATGTTGGGTCGTCCTATGTCGAATATCCCCTTATGTTTTATTCTGGTTATATCATGACGACCCTTCTAGCCCATTTACCCGTGATGGTATGATAAGAAAGATATGTTACATTGGTGGTCGATTAGGTAAGGCACCGGGTGCCCGTCACGGCCCATCGGTTTGGGTCGTTACAATGCAATATAATTTATATTAATTACTTAATTCTCTTGAACAAAAAGAAATTAAACAGACAACACAAACGTTTCTTTTTTGTATGAAAATATTAAAACTTGTCGGAAAAATATTATTCAAGGGGTTACCATTCTCATTCAAAAGGTGAAGGGATTATTATTTCCTCAAAGGTTAAGGGGCTTTAATAAAATTTAGTCTAAACTTTAAGATTGGATTCCACATTCCAGACTTATGTATCCCCTTGTATTTATAATATATGATGTACAGTGTAGTTACAATTTTAGAATTATACAAATTCCAGAGATAATATAATCATTGAAGATAAATAGAAAGATTAGTGCTTACCCTGACCCATAACTGTTTAAATTAAAAATCTATTGTGCCAAAAGATATAAACATATATACAACAAAATAAACAAATAGATAGGGATTGAATGGATCCACGTTTAGTAAAACATAAATGAAGTAAATGTATTTTCTTTTTTGGCAAAGTAGGGCACTTTTTTGAAAGCAAAATAGCAAAAACTAATTTGGAGAAAGGGGATATGAGACCTAAAGTTTGGCATTCCAAATTCTTGAACAATGGAGACTCAGTGTAGTTTATATATATAGGTGCTTTACAGTGTATTATTTAAGTGCTAGATCTAAATTTCAAAGCGAAAGATCGTACTACATATTTTCATTTTGAATAACGACTTAAACACAAAACAATAGAAGTTCATAATCAAACATCATCATTAATATTACTTCTGAAATTGTATAGCAAGGACCTTGGAAGCAAATTAATCATGTTAACCAGATTATTCTTAAGAAATCTGACCTCCATGTGGTGCTCCACTTCTAAGCTAGAGTTATTGTTTATCAGCGTTTCTTTTGTATATTGACGATATCTTCCAATGGCCTTCTGCATGCTGAATTATTCCAAGAAGTTGAAGTAATCATTAATTAAGACTTTATAGAGGTAAATCACATTCGATCCAAACAATATTGAAAGATATATTGAACTAGGTACCACGTTTAATTGCATCAGAAGATGAAAAAACAAGGTAATCCTCAATTTAGGATTGTCACAAACAACATAATTTGCAGATGGTAAAAGAAAATATTGTTTCCTAGAAAGATTATAAACTAAAACCTTCTCATTTCAACCAAAAAAGATCTTGTCAGTCTAGTCTATAAGAGTGAAACATCCTTCACAAAATGCATGTATATTCATACATACTGGAGATGTCAATCCGAAAAGAGAAAACTCTTTTTCTCCTATACCAGGTTATAAACCACATCGATTTCGCATACATATTTTGAAATCAATAGTAATTGCTATAGTTAAAACACTATCAATGGATTATGTGCAGCTATTCAATCATGAATTCATGCCATAATCTTGCTAGAGTTACAGTGGAATTATCAAGCGGGATAAGATAACTTGAAATATATATCTGAAGTAGACAATCTATTTGATAGAATATAAGGGTTCACCAAATTCTATAGAGAATCAGATTCTCTATCAGTTCCACTAGAACACACGCACACTGCAGTAAGTAGATGACAAGAGGATTTTTACGTGAAAAACTCCCAGCTCAACGGGATTAAAAATCACGACCTACCCTTATAGGATTTCAACTTCACCACTGAGCAACTTTTAGATTACAACCTCTGCAACCTAGAAATTAATCTCTTAATCCCTCACTAACTTGTAATACTCTATTACAAGCCACTTTGTAATAACTCTATTACAAAGACTTTACAACTCGACTAACTCTAGCCAAGACTCAAACACAAATATTTAAGGTTTACAAAGGGTTTCCTACAGAATACTTCTAAACAAGCTAAATAGGAATTACAATTGAAGAATTATTACAAAGTTACAACTCAAATAAGGACATACAATGACTTGCTGTGGGGAACTGGTCCGTAGTAGTGCTATTCTTTGTTCTTGATGCACTTGAGAATTGATTGCTTGATGATCAATGACCGTGTGAGAGCTTCAATGATTTCTCTAAGTGAACTACTCATTTGTTTTACTTTCCTTAATGTTAATAATGCATTTGTGACATCACTAGGATGATGTAAGCAAGGTAGGTAAAAGACACTCCCCATAAAGTTGACTGCTGCACTGTATCTGCACTGTAGCGTGTGCAAGCAGCAACTTTATAGCTGGGGCAGTTGACTTGTACTGTTTCCTAGGGAATTGATAGTTATCTGTTCCCTCTGTTGTTCCTCTAACTCTAAAGAGTCGAAGCATATTCCAAACTGGAACCTTTCGATCTTAAGGTCTTGAGAATATGTAACTGGTTCTTTATCTGGTTCTTGACCGTTAGTTTGTTAGATCATCAGAACATAAAGCAAGGTACTTGTAACCTATCAATTTTCCCCTTTTTGATAATGACAAACTTATAATTGAACATCCCAGAAAAAAACCGCACCGAACTAGACAGTGAACCAGAAAAGCCTTAAGTTTCCCCCTAAGTCTGTACTCCCCCTTAATCAGTGATCATTAATCAATTATGCATATTAATCTTCCCCGTTTTGGCATCATAAAAAGAAGAGCAACAAGTATATAGCAAAAAGAAGTCTAGCTTGAGTTAACTCATGCCACTTGTGTGCATCCAACATGACTAAAAACAAAGCATAAAGACAATGCATTGTTAGCAAAAAGGGAAAAGCTGGTATTAACATTAATTTGGATTTTTCAACAGGAGCAGAGTCAATGTTACTACCACCATCCATAGTTTTGAACAAACAAAAAACAAAAAAAGCACCACAAACATCATCATTAAAACTGACACTGAGGGAATAGACTGATCACTAAAGACTGAACACTGAAGGGACACTGTTTAGGGAGCACTGGAAGGAGATGGCTTAGAAAGGGCTTGGAGGACTAAATTCATTCGAGCATTTGCTGACATTTGCTCGTTGAGCAGTCTCCCTTTCAAGTCCTCCATTTATTTCCTGAGCTCAGCATTCTCTTTTGTTAGAAGAGCAACCTCTTCTCCTTGAGAACAACTGGAACAAGGTGCCTCCTGCTGCTGACTTAACTGAGTCTCAAGGATAGCATTCCTTTCTTTCAATTTCCTTATCTCCGAGGTAACACTGTTCTGAGCATTGATCGGCTGAGATATGGTAGAAGTGTTTCCAACCCCTCCAATTTTTTCGATGCACTCACATTCTTCAAGAGTAGTTTTGGAGAAAGTTTGCTTCGTTGTGCCCACTTTAGCTTGTCCTAGAGGAACCTTGAAGTGCTTAAAGACCTTGGTGAGAAGGAACACATACGGCATCCCATGATTACCATATTTAAAGTTTGCCACTTTGTTCATGTGCTCTATCATAATCCCAGGCAGATTGATGGTAGTGAAGTTATCCAGTGCTTACATGAGGAACAGGTTTGCACGAGAGGTGATAGATCTTCTCTCAGCTCGAGGCAGCAGTACCTTATTCACCATCTCAAATAGCAGTTGGTATACAGGAAGGAGGGCCTTCTTCTGAACCCGATCCACCTGCTGAATTGCTCTGTCCTTTAATATGGCATTTCTGAAATTTTGAGAATAGGATCAATGAACACTAGATAGCCCTTCAGCAGGCATACCAAGAATGGACCCCAACAGGGCAGAGTCCATCACCATATCAACTTCATTCACCAATACACAGATGTGATCATCTTCAACTTTAAAAAGGTCAGCATAGAAACTTTGAACTTCCTCTTCATACACCATTGGAGCATCATTTGTGAACAAATGTGTCCACTGTTAGAACTCACAGATCTCAACCAGCTGTCTCATACCAGCCTTCTCTAAGATATCAGCGCCAAATGTGCGGCCCCACAACACCTTTTGACTTCTTAACCTCTCTTTCCCAGCACTCCTTAGATCACCCACTCTGGACTTCTTTGAGGAACCAGGTTCCTCATCCGTATCAGCTTTTCTCTTAGCAGACTTGCAAACATTCTTTCCTTTTTCATCAGACTTCACAGACTTTTCACCCAATTCTTCCATCACCCTGGCAACAGACTCTTCTACCAACTTATCACCAGATTCTTTCACCATATTTTCACTAGCAACAACATCATCAGATTTGTTCAGACTTTCAGCAGACACAGAAGATCCCCTTTTAGGCTTTGGGAAACCATGCTTCTGTGAGTGATTTCTAGTCAAGGAACCAGGTTCCTCTTTTACTTCATCATCCACATTCACAACTAACACTATCATCTCGCTCACAACTTTTCCATCTTTCACTAATTTTCTTCTCTTTGACTTAGCTTGGCTGTTCTTAAGCGCAGACTCAAAAGCCTCCTTCCTTTGCAACCTTATAGTAGGTCGCTTGGGAGTAGACTCTTGAGTAACCATTGGTTTACGCCTAGTCAAGTAAGTAATTGGCATATTATCCCGTGCCGATTGTTCAACAGGCACAAGCTCTCTACCCTCTTTAACAGTCTTAGACTATTCCTCCTGAGTCCCAAAACCATCATCACCTCCTTCTATAACAACCCCTTCATGAGCTATGGACAGCATATTCTCTATTACCTCTTTCTCTTGTACATCCATGGAGAACTCAGTAGAGGAAGGAGTGTTACCTGTGGACGTAAGATCAGGAGCAGTCTTTGTTGAGTCAAACTTCTCAGAAGTATCAGTTTGATCTACCTTTGACCCTTTTTTCATAGGCGAACATGAAATTTCCTAATCTTCTTCTTTGTCAGCAATACTCTGTTCATCCTTTTTTTTCCGGTAAAGTAGGAGAAGGGCTCTGGGCTACAAATCTTTTGGGAGACGAGATTTTGCGACTCATATGAGAACTAGAACTCGAGTGGGTAGGAGAGGATACGGAATGTGGGGGTGACTCTATCCTAGGGTTTTGGTTAGCAGTGGTGTGGGGTGAGGAGTCTAATATCAGTGTTTCAACAGGTGAGGACTCAATGGGGATGTCACTTGGAACACTCGAGGTTGTTTGATTTTCGGCCATCTTGAGAAGAAGAGCAGGGATTTGGCAGTTTGAAGAGAGGCAGAAGAATGGGGTTTTGAAATTTGATGGGAGGAGTTGTGACAGTGATAGATGTATTTATGATGGATGAGGGACTGGTTAAGAAAGAGCGGTAGTTTTCGGAGTCGGGTCGATTATTAATGGGTGAGACGTTTGGGTTCACAAGACGCAAGGAAAAGAAAATGACGCACTGATGACGTGGCACTTGTTTTAACCGTTCAAAATTGTGCATGAGAGAACAGAGAAACTACTAACATGTGTCAGGAGAACCAGGTTCCTTGACTAATCTTGCATCTGTGCTTTGCCCTTTTTACAGCACGTACTATATCAACTGCCTATTTTCTCTGTAATCATCATGTGTGTCTACCTGTAACGGTATAGAGATGAGTTAGACTTTGCCAGAAAATACTTTTTAGCTAATTTTACCTGAACATGTCTTTCATAGCCAATCATCGAGGGACCAGGTTCTTAGTTGGGCTTTATCAATCCCAGTGCCAGACCATTTCTTTTAAAATGTTCTCTACTCAAGGTCTTGGTAAATATGTCTGCAATCTGTTCTTCTGTGCTGCAGAATTTCATGCAAATGAGCCCATTTTCCACATTGTCTCCGAGGAAGTGGTGACGCACACCAATGTGCTTGGTTCTCTTATGTTGGACTGGATTTTTGGCCATATTGAGTGCACTTGTATTGTCGCATAGGAGAGGCACACAATCTGAGATGTGAGAACACTCCAAAGTCTTCCAACTGCTGCTTGATCCATAGCAATTGAGCACAGCAAGAAGCAGCTGCTACCTATTCCGCTTCTGCAATTGAGAGTTTCACTGCATTTTGCTTCCTTGTACCCCACGAGATTAGGCAAGAACCCAAGAATAGTTCCATTCCAGACGTGCTTTTCCTGTCCAGCAGATATCCTCCATAATCAGTGTCAGCATACCC